TGATATAGTGCAATATAGCAATATTTAAAACTGATATTGTACTATGTTAATAATATATTGTATGTATATATTGTATGTATATTGTAAGCCGCTCTGAGTCCCCTTCGGGGTGAGAAGGGCGGCATATAAATGTCGTAAATAAATAAATAAATAAATAAATAATCAAAACAGAAGTATTAAAAGAATGGGAGAAGTTCAAGAGATGGGACTTTATGACCCAAAGGGAGGAGGAACATAGGAATAGGGGGGAAAAGAAAGGGGGAAATGGCTGGAATGAATATAGATAAGAGGCACACTTGAGAGAAGGGCAAAAAAAAAAAAAGCGGTGAATGTAAAAAGACTTGTTTAAAAACTTTAGATACTAAAATGATAGTGGTGGCACTATTTTTCCTGTTGTACACCCAATAGCTGTCAGACTAAAATAATTGCATTTAATCTCCTCGCCTCTAGTGTCTGACTGAAACAGAGATGCTGGGGTTAGGGTAGCACCGGGCCACAACGTACCTTCCTTCCGGAAAGTGGAGGCCGAGACACTGACGCTGCTGGGGAATTGAAGAGAGATCCCCTGAGGGTCGAGCGCATGGTGGTGTTGGGTGTGGAAGCCGTGATGTTCAGCTGGAGAGAAAAGGGTTAGGGTGACGCCTGAGGCTCTGGAAGAGACACAGGCCTCTTGGCTCTGGCTTTTCTCAAGTTGCAGAGGAGCATCTTCTATTCCTTTCATCCAAGACTTTCAGACATGTCTCTAGCTGCAGCCCCTCGGCAGAGGAAAAAGCCAGAGCCAGACAAAAAAGATTTCTCCGAGTCCCTTTCCTGCACTCACCTTCCGGACCTTTCCGGGTGTGGTGAGGCCCATCCCTCTCCTCTTGTTGGGGGTCCGGGGGCTGCTCCCGTACATCATCTCCTCCTCAATTTGGCGCGATTTTTTGAGTTGCTGGAAGAAAGAGAGGGAAAGCCAGCTTTTAGAGAAGGTTTTGTGTCATGAATAACTTTTCAATAACTTTAAAGCATAGGTTCTGTGATTGTGATTTTATATTGTTTATATGCTTTTTATATTGTTTCTTGTATTATTTATTTATTTACAGTATTTATATGCCGCCTTTCTCACCCCTGGGGGGACTCAAAGCGGTTTACACATAAATAATGGCAAAATTCAGTTCCTTACACTGGGCACAGGCATGATACCAATACAAACAATTACAACAGTAAAACCACAATTAAACATAAATCATAATTAAAACAATACATCAGCAAGCATTATAACAATAAAACATATATATTTATTTTTTTATTTTATTGACCTATGTTGTTATTAGCATTGCTGTACTGTATTGTAGGGCTTGGCCCTACAATAAGCCGCCCCGAGTCCCCTTGGGGTGATGGGGGTGAGGTTTAAATAAGTTATTATTATTATTATTATTATTATTATTATTATTATTAGGTTCTTTTTATTGCAGTTTCCAGTGTGAGAGGGTAGATCAGAAGTTTTGCAGAACTTTTACACAAAGAATGACATTGGACATATAAAGATTCTATGCAACTACATTGGATTCACAATTGCATGGCTAACAAACAAACTAAGGAGAATTAAGTTTTCAATCACCATTTACACACATGTACATGCATTCATTGTCATGCATATCCTTTTCTCCCTTCTTGGAGAAGCACCTGTTAGGCCAGACCCTACTTTCCTGCTGCCTGCCAACGCATAGTTCCAAAACTTCCATAACTCCAAAACTCCAAAATGCATCCTTTCCCTAAGCACAATGCCAAGGACCAGATCTCTGTTTTCCATACAGCAGAACCGAACTCCCTGCACAAAATGTGAGATTCCAAAAATGTACTTCTTCCTCTTCCCTTGAGAAAACCCCCCCAAAGTGACCAGAATCATGCTTCCCTATAGCATATCTGACACTCTCCATAGGTACATGATCTCTCTCCTTCCCATGGAGCAGAGCATAGCGGGTGAACCAGACTCCTCAGGTCTGTCACAGTTTGAGAATTGTTACATTGAGTCTTTTATAGGAATATTCTGCTGATGTCATCTCAAAGTTGTAAATTAATGATAGAGGTCTTCCATCCTGGAATATATTGATTGATGTTGACTCTTCTTGATTCATGTTAGCCTTGTGTTGACTTCCTTCTTAAAATAATAATAATAATAATAATCATCATCATCATCTTTGTTTATACCCCGCCACCATCTCCCCAAAGGGGACTCGGAGCGGCTTACATGAGGCTGAGCCCAGAAATATATTACAACAAAATACAATAAAATAAAACCAAAACAACAGATCTAACATCACAATAAAATAGATAACGCATAGGAATACAATAAAAACAAAACAAAATAATGCAATGAAAAATCTATCACAGTGAGCGGGAATGTTGTAAACATTTCTCTTAACTTGAAAGAACCATTGTCACCATTCTTATCACAGTTTACTTTTTCAGTTCTCATTAGCAGGTTTTAATCACAGTCCAGCAAGCAGGTAGTTAGTCATTGCCAGCCTTGGTCCTTTTACTGGTGTTTCCAAAATTATTAACTCCATCCATACATCCTTCCGTTCAATTAATTCATACTCACATATCATGAATCATCCACATTTATAAAATCTGCAATGATATTTTTGTGACATTTGGAAACCAGGTCGGGGGATGCTGTGGCTATAGCTTTCAATGCAATTTTAATCAGTACACCATTGATACTCAATTTTGTTTTATGGTTTGTGGATTTGAAATCGTATTGAAACTCTTTTAACATAAGTCTCCTTTGTGGAGAGAATAAGCAGGGTATCAGGAAACATAATAACAACTCGGAAGCCTCTCCGCCACCAAACCGGATGTGCAACACAGGGTCCCAAACATGACTGAAGGGCAGATGATGGTGTCCCCTCAAGGCTGCCAGCCCAGAGAAAAGCATTCCACCTCCCCTGCAGCTGTGCCTGAGAACAGAAGCCCTCCCATTGCTCAGACTGGGCAAGCACCAGCTTCTTGCCACTCTGGCCCTTCTTTCCACAGGTACCATGGGCCAATGGGAGGGCTTCTGTTCCTGCTCTGCTAGTGTGACTCACTCGCTCCTGTCGCTCGCGCTCCTTCTCCAGGTGGTGGAGGCGCCACTGCTCGGCCACGTACTGCAGGAAGGGCTGCTCTTGCACCAGGAAGGGCTCCCGGTGCTCCTGTTCCCAGCGCTCCACCCGGTCCTGCAACTCTGCTTCAAGCTACAAGAGGGAGAAAGAGAGCTTGGTGTTCAGCCTGGTGGCCTCACTGTCAGAATATTAGCTAGCTATTTTTAATTACAAAAATGTGAGTCAAACACTGAAAGGGTTAAATGGATACGACTCAGCAAGGCTGCAGTTCAATATTTATTTATTTATTACATTTATTTGCCACTCTTCTCACCCCAAAGGGGACTCAGAGTGGCATACAAGGTATATACAAGGGGTAAAAGTGCATTAAAGAAATAAATAATAAATATATATATACATACAATATATTATATTATTAGCATAGTACAATATCAGTATTAAATATTATTATATTGTAATATTATTAGTATTTATATTACATGTAATATAAATATATAATTATAATATATTATTAGTAGTAGTATTATATTGCAATATAAGCAGTTGTGCCTTTTGCTTAAGAAAACCACAGTCTGAGAGAACTCTCTGTGTGAGAGAAGCCTCTCTGTGTGAGAGAACGCCTCAGTGGGAGAAAGGTCTCTGTCTCTGAGAAGGCCTCATATGTGAAGCCCCAGTGAAGGTTGAACTTTATTTGTGTTATAGAAACCTTGTTCTTGTAAATAGTGCAATCATATTATTTTACTACAAAGAAAAGCCTCCTAAGGAAGATATAACATTGGTCTGCGTGTTGTTGTTATTTGTATCACTTTGGGCTATTGGTGCTGGGTCACGCTGCTGCTAACAAGTGACTCTGCTGTACATTTATGGGGAGGGTCTTTTGTTAATAGGTCCACTCGCCCAATACTCCCCACTGTGCCCCTTCCACCAGAGTGCCACCTGCCTTTGGAAGAGTCTTCTGCAGCTTCACCCGCAGCTTCTCTTCTTTCAGAAGGTTGCCCCCACGGTTGGTGAAGCGGCTGGGGTCCAATGCCTTTCTCTGGGGAGGAGAAAAGGGGTCTGAATTGGCAAACCCTCCCTCTCCATGGTCTCCTTGGCCCAGACTCCATTGGTCCCCCGCTGGCCCACAGCTACCTCAAGCTCCTGAAAGTGGCGCCAGCTGTCTTCCCACTTGCGGATGCCTTCAAACAGTTCTTGGTGGGCCTCGTAATATTGCTTCATCCGCAGGATCTCTGCGTCGTGCTGCTGTAGGAGCTCTTCTGTGAAGTCGTCTGGAGAGTAGGAAATGAGCTCGCAGGGGCCATATGGGGTCAAGCCCTTCCAATCCTGGTCAGAGGAGGGGGTCACTTACCCTGGAAGTAGGGGCTGAAGGAGCGCCTCTGCTGCTCACTATAGAAGCACTTCTCCCAGTAGCTGGCCAGCTCCCCTCGGATGGCCTCCACCACGTTCTGGATGTTGTCGCGCTTGAGCTGCTCCAGGCGCTCTTCCTCCCGCCGCAGCTACAAAGGAGGAAGGCACAGGATGGCAGGGGTCAGAGCTTCAGTGCATGGTGGGCAGTCTTTCCAGCCCTGAGCCATCCCCTTCCCTGCATCGTCACACTTGGGATCTGGACCACCCAGAAGGAGCCCAAGCTTGGCTTCTGTTGGATTTGGGCCCCAACCCACTGCTTCCCTTCTCATTGTTATTTGGCACTTTAATTCGTGTTTGAAGAAACCCAATGACCCACAGGTATGACTATGTTTTAGAATTTTAATGTTTTTTTAATTGCATTGATTGAGGTTGTCCATTGTTTGTATTCAGTCAAATTGTGTATTGTTTTGATTATATGTAATTCTATTTTATGTGTGGCACCTTGAGTGCTTTGTTAGCCGCCCCGAGTCCCTTCAGAGAGATGATGGTGAGATACAAATAAAATATTATTATTAGATACATAACAAGATTGGTACACAGAAAACTAGATCACTGTGCTGGCTTTTTGTATTCGATCACATGTCGGACACTTCCCAAGTGTCTAGGACTGTGTGATGTATCAGTAAATAATGCGTGCAGATCCTAGTAAGGTGACGTTTTGCAGCTGACAGAAGGTAATTTTGTCAGCGTCAATTGTTTTTAAGTGCAGACCAAGGTCTTTAGGCACGGCACCCACTGTGCCGATCACCACTGGGACCCCTTTCACTGGCTTGTGCCAGAGTCTTTGCAGCTCAATCTTTAAATCCTCGTATCGTGTCAGCTTTTTCAGTTGCTTCTTGTCAATTCTACTGTCACCTGGGATAGCTAATAATAATAATAATAATAATAATAATGAACAGCCAGCAGAGTGTCTGCTGTGGACTCATCTTGTGTTTCAAATAATAATAGGTAAAGTAAAGGTTTTCCCCTGGCATAAAGTCGTGTCCGACCCTCGGGGTTGGTGCTCATCTCCGTTTCTAAGACAAATACCCAGCGTTGTCCGTAGACACCTCCAAGGTCATGTGGCCAGCATGACTGCATGGAGCGCCGTTACCTTCCAGCCGGAGTGGTACCTATTGATCTACTCACATTTGCATGTTTTCGAACTGCTAGGTTGGCAGAAGCTAGGGCTGACAGCGGAAGCTCACGCCGCTCACCGGGGTTCTCTTTATTATTATTATTATTATTATTATTATTATTATTATTATTAAACTTTATTTGTACCCCGCTAGCATCTCCCGAAGGACTCAATGCGGCTTACACAGGCCAAGGCCTCAACAACAATACAACAATACAACAATGCAAATTAAAACAGTTAAAGCAATATTAAACAACAAGCAATAAACAATACACCAAGACACAATAAAACTGGGCCGGGCCAGAGTAATGGGTACAGAATTAAAAGTGCTGATGTGACAGGTAATATGTAAGGATTATAGGGTAAGTGCAGTGTGCAGTGTGCAGCAATCTTAATTCTACTAAAGTGCTTGGGACTTGGTATTGGAGATTTCCTAATCTGGGAAGGCACATCGGAACAGCCAGGTCTTCAAGTTCTTTCTGAAGACTGCCAATGTAGGGGCCTGTCTAAGATCTTTGGGGAGGGTGTTCCAGAGTCGGGGGGCCACCACGGAAAAGGCCCTGTCTCGTGTCCCCACCAAACGTGCTTGTGACGCAGGTGGAATCACGAACAGGGCCTCTCCAGATGACCGAAGAGAGCGTGTGGGTTCGTAGACGGAGATACGATCCTGCGACCTTTCGGTCAACAAGCTTAGCAGCGCAGCGGATTTGAACCTGCGACCTTTCGGTCAACAAGCTTAGCAGCTCAGTGGTTTAACTCACTGCGCCACCGGGGGCTAATAATAATAATAATAATTATTATTATTATTCTTCCCCTCCTCTCATCTTGCGTTGTGCTGCAGTTGGAGGAAGCCAAGCTCAGCAGCAACAGAAGCAGCAGCATCTCAATAGAAGAAAAGAACCATTCCCTCCCAGTCCCCTGGAATCTTAGAGGGCCCAAGGAGCCCTGTTCCAAAGGAGGAGGCAGCTCTATCCAGTGTTGCTCACCGCGTTTATGATCTCGGACTTGAAGCCCACCATGTAGGGGGCAAAGGCCTCCCTTTCCTCCGCAGGGACCTGCAGGCGGTTCCAGAGCACCAGGACCCTGGAGCGCAGATCTTCACACAGTGCTTCTTTCTGGCTTCTCTTGATCTCCAGCTGAAAGGCACAAAAAAAGAGTAGTATCGTGGTTGTGGGTCAGGGCTGGGAAAATGCTGACCCCTTCCCTCTCTTCTTCCCTCCTGAAGAGAATGAGATTTTACAATTGAAAGAAGAAGGTTTTAAGAATGGGTCAAACACAGGGAAGGAGGGAGAGAAGGGTGAAGGAATTTGGAAGAGGTATTATTATTGCCGGGCAATGGGGAAAGACATGGGTAGGAGGGGGAAAGAAAGAAAGAGATCAATATGACCTGAAAGGGATGGGAGAATGGAAAGAGCAGGAAAAAAAATATCTGGATTGTTTTGGAACAGAGAAGCCCAATTGAAGGATAGAGCTGGGAGGGAAAAAGTACATACACAAAAGAGCAGAAAGGCTTGGATTGCGCATTTGTGCTCGTGTTTACTTTGAAATCATGTTTGAACATATATATACAAAAAAAAGGATTAGTAGGAGAATTATATAAAATAATGATAAAAGATGATGAATATGTAGTGAGAACACTTCAAAATAAATGGCAGAAGGAAGGGCCGCTCACGAAACAAACTATAGAGGAAATAAAGAAGGGGGTTAAGAAAATTAAAATGGAAAAATATATAAGAGTTCAAAATTAATCTGGAAATGGTATAGGACATCAGCTCAAATAGCAAATAGCTCACAACCTCTGGGGATGCTTGCCATAGATACAGGCGAAACGTCAGGAGAGAATGCTTCTAGAACATGGCCATATAGCCCAAAAAAACTACAACAGCTCAGTGATTCCAGCCAGGAAAGCTTTCAACAATACAGTAATACAGCAGCAAGATGTTTGAGCAGAGTAGACTCACATATAACCTACCCAAGAAGTTCCATTAATTTATCCAACAGTTATGTGTGTATTAAATACAGTTGTATACAGCTGAATAGTTACTTATTTATAGTTGTACTTTGTTTAGCAAATAATGTCAGCTTCTAAACTTTTGTTTAAAAAGGAGTTTACTTTGATCTGACTATGGCTGACTATAAAACCCATGGTGCAGAACAGTCAAAGGTGGCAGTTTCTTGACTTTAGTGCATCATCCTTTAGTGTTAAACAATTGTATTTTGAATTTCGTTTCTACTGTGTTTCTCAACCTTCCTAATGCCGTGACCCCTTAATATAGTTCCTCATGTTGTGGTGACCCCCAACCATCACATTATTTTCGTTGCTACCCCATGACTGTAAATTTGCTACTGTTATGAATTGTAATGCAAATATCTGATATGCAGGATGTATTTTCATTCACTGGACCAAATTTGGCACGAATACTCAATATGCCCAAATGTGAACACTGGTGGAGTTTGGGGAAAATAGACATTGACATTTGGGAGTTGGGGTTGCTGGGATTTATAGTTCACCTACAGGAAAAGAGCATTCTGAACCTGTCCAATGACAGAATTTAGCTATACATTCTACACAGAATTCCCATGCCTTAAAGGGACTCACTGGCATGAGCCTCCCTCCATCCTCGCACGCTCTCCCTTGCCCCGTACATGCGTACTACACTGTCATGTGACAAGCATGCCTTCTGAGCTTGGGGCCTCAGAAACAGCCCTCCCCTTGGCTGAGAGGCCAGCCAATCACAGAGGAGGAGAGCTTTTGGTGGGAGGATTCACCGTCTGTTTCCCAAAAGGAGGACAAGGACAGGCGGAGAGATCTTCAGCCTTCTCTGCCAAAGGGGTTCCAAAGACCATCAGAAATATATGTTTTCTGATGGTCTTTCGTGACCCCTCTGAAACCCCCTCGCGACCCCCCAGGGGTCCCGACCCCCAGGTTGAGAAAGGCTGGTCTGATTGGAAATAGACTAGAGAGATTTGGGCACTGAGCTTCCCCACCTGCTGCAGGAGCTCCTTGAGGGCGGCGATGTTATCGGCGGAGAGGCAGAAGGCGTCCTCATCCTCGCAGATCACATCCCGCTCAAAGCTGGTCTCGGGGCTCTGCTCCAGCTCCTCCATGCATAGCACAATTTGCTGCTTCGTTTCAAGGAACTCGCTCCAGCGCCGCTCCTGCGGGAAGAGAGGCGTCAATTGGCAACGCTCATTTTTTTGTCCATCCGTCCCCCAACTGACCAATCCAACATACACCAACCTTTTCGGCCGTGAGCGCGGCCAAGTGTCGGCGGAAGGCATCCAGCTGGGCCAGGCTGGGCACAGCCCCAGGCTCTTCGGTGGCAGCAAATGGCTCGGCGCAGAGCAGGTCGCAGAGGTCCTGGTCCCGCTCCTGCAGGGCCTTCAGCTCCTGCCACCGCTCCCGCTTCTGCTTCAGCATCACCTCCACCCGGGTGCGCAGGTCCTTCTCCAGTTGCAGGATGGTGGCCTCCTCATCCTCCTGGGAAAGAGTGGCAGAGCAAGAAGCAGCAAGAGGTGTGTATGGAGAGCCATTGGGGACAGAGGGGAGCCTGTACTGTGCACCTCCTGTTTCCTAGATTGATGTCACTCAAAGTGTTGACTGCCTGTTTACGTTTAGAGGTCACTTCTCCCTCCTTTACAAACACACTTTTCTATTTCCTATCTCACTCAGGGTTGCTTTGAATGCAATATTCCTGCTTCTTGGCAGGGGATTGGACTGGATGGCCCATGAGGTCTCTTCCAACTCTAGGATTCTATAAACTTTGGTGGAGCCCCCTTTTCCCCATGATAATAACTCCTGAAAGAGGAGTGCAAATCCAGGAGTGCATTTTCCTTCCTTCCAAGGGGGAGATTCTTCTCGCTTCCTGTTGTCTCAGCCCTGTTCATAACTAGGAATCATTTGTAAGCTGGGTATATGTAACTCAGGACGGCCTATATCCTGTCCCTTACCTCAAAGGGGGCCAGTTGCAGCTCTTTGCAGAGGTCGGCCTGCCTCTTGCGGCAAGTGGCGATGCTCTGGAGCAGCCGCCCCTTCAGGCTCTCCTCCTCCGCCACCATCATCTCCAGCAGGCCCTGCATTTGGGTTAAACAATATGAGATTGAATATATACAGAGAATATTTAAAGACTGGTCCGTAATGCATTGAGTGACTAAAAATACATTGACAGAAATAAAAGCAAGCTTATGATAAATGTTAGACAATTAGATCACCTTTGTATACTTTTTGCATATATATTTACAAACATACACTGCTTGTTAAGAGCCCTGATAGGACAAAATATTTTGAGATTCTCTGTCCAAGTGAATTACTTTGAAATAGGTTATACATGGTTCATTTACAAATACGTTACATGATTCACTTACACTCTTGCAACTTAATCTCATTTTACCAAACTTATTATTTAATCAACTTTAACTGTGTTTTAATTAATTTTCATTAATTATTACAGGCATTTTAGGATAGTGATTACTGTCTATTTGTGTATTTTTGTCTTTGATTGTTGATATGGTCAATGGAGTAATCAATAAACAGACCTCTCTATCTGTGAAATGTCAAGGGACTTACAACAGAGAGTATCAAGGTGGCATTAGAGCAGCAGCTGTTATCCCTTTTCCATCTATCTATCTATCTATCTATCTATCTATCTATCTATCTATCTACACACACACACATATATATACATACACACACACACGACAGGGTATAAATAATAAATCTATATAAATAAAAATGAAATGTTTGTTTGTGGGATTAACATAACTCGAAAACCACTGGATGAATTGCCGCCAAATTTGGCCCCAAGACACCTGCTAACCCAAAAAATTGATTTTGTCATTCGGGAGTTGTAGTTGCTGGGATTTATAGTTAACCTACAATCAAAGAGCATTCTAAACTCCACCAACGATGGAATTGAACCAAACGTGGCACACAGAACTCCCATGAACAACAGAAAACACTAGGAGGGTTTGATGGGCATTGACCTTGAGTTTGGGAGTTGTAGTTCACCTACATCCAGAGAGCACTGTGGACTCAAACAATGATGGATCTGGACCAAACTTGGCACAAATATTTCATATGCCCAAATATGGAGTTTGAGGGAAATAGACCTTGACAATTGGGAGTTGTAGTTACTGGGATTTATAGTTCACCTACAATCAAAGAGCATTCTGAACCCCACCAGTGACAAACTTCCCACACTGAACCCCCATGACCAACAGAAAATACTTAAGGCCATCCAGTCCAACTCCCTTCACCAGGGCAAGAAAACATATTCAAAGCCCTCCTGACAAAGAGCCATCCAGCCATAGATATAGATAGATATTTATGATTCACACACAGTATAGTATCATAGATTTGAAAGGGACCTAAAGAAGGACAATTATATGTTGCATGTTCCAGAGTAGGCAAACCAGACAATCTCCACATCAACACTGACAAAGAAACAGCAAGAAATACTGTTTACTCACAAGCATAAAGAAATTACATATATTAGAAACCAACACTTTCTCATTACTTTATTTTCCAGATCACCAGACTGGGCCACAGCAACGCCTGGCAGGGGATGGCTAGTGTTATATATATACATACATACACACACACACACACACACACACACATACATATCAGCTCCTGGTGGCACAGTGGATTAAACCGCTGAGCTGATGAACTTGCTAATCGAAAGGTCAGCGATTTAAATCTGGAGAGCAGGGGTCAGCTCCCGTTGCTACGCCCAGCTTCTGCCCACCTAGCAGTTTCAAAAACATGCAAATGTAAGTAGATCAATAAGTACCGCCTTGGAAGGTAACAGTGCTGCATGCAGTCATACCGGCCACATGACCTTGGAGGTGTCTATGGACAACGCTGGCTCTTTGGCTTAGAAATGGAGATGAGCACCAACCCCCAGAGTCGGACATGGCTAGACTTAATGTCAGGGGAAACCTTTACCTATATATATATATATATATATGTCTGTGTCCATTTCGACTCCCAGTCCTCCTTAATAGATCCATGAGTGTATGTGGTTCTCCTTTCGGTGATATCACCTTGTAGCCTATCATCCAATAAATATCCATGCCATTTGAAATGAATCGGTTCCCCATCCGTTTGGCCTTGCCCACCTTGACGTGCTTCCGGACCACCTGAGTGCGCTCCAGGCGCTGCTCCTCGGGGATGCCGATCTCCTCCCAGATGTCATGCAGGTGCCTCAAGGCCTGGCTCAGGCAGGCCACGGACTCATCCGCCAGGACCTCGCTGCAGGGAAGCAGAAGCAAAGTTAGGAGGGAGCCCCAAATGCCATCTAGTCCAGGCTTGGGCAAGCTTCGGCCCTCCCTCCAGGTGTTTTGGACTCCAACTCCCATCATTCCTAACAACCTCAGGCCCTTTCTTTTTCCCCCTCAGCCGCTTTAGCAGTGATGAGGGCTTCCCTCCACGACTCAAGGCATTTGTGGGGCTCCAGCATCCAAAAGAAATCCCATATTATGAGGGGTCACAGCCCTATCTCTGAAAGCAGTGGACCCAACGCCCCATGGAAAAGGCCCTTTGTGCAGTTCCAGAGAAGCCCGGCGTATGGCACTGTTTTCATAGAATCATAGAATCAAAGAGTTGGAAGAGACCTCATGGGCCATCCAGTCCAACCCCGAAGTAGGAATGTTGCATTCAAATCACCCCTGACAGATGGCCATCCAGCCTCTGTTTAAAAGCTTCCAAAGAAGGAGCCTCCACCACACTCCGGGGCAGAGAGTCCCACTGCTGAACAGCTCTCACAGTCAGGAAGTTCTTCCTCATGTTCAGATGGAATCTCCTTTCTTGTAGTTTGAAGCCATTGTTCCGTGTCCTAGTCTCCAGGAAGCAGAAAACAAGCTTGCTCCCTCCTCCCTGTGGCTTCCTCTCACATATTTATACATGGCTATCATATCTCCTCTCAGCCTTCTATTCTTCAGGCTAAACATGCCATTATAAGAATTTGTAAAAAAAATAAGAATAAAACAAGGTGTTGCAATAATAAACAGTAATATTATGTAATAAAATTTGGGGGAAAATAACTGTTCTTGATTTGAAAGTGTTCTTTCCCGTTCAATAGTGCGGTACTTACTCTGGCAGTAGTTATTCTACTCCAAAATCTTCATTTTTGTGGCTTCCACAAACTAGGTTGGGTTTGGTTAAGGCTCAATGATGAGATATTCATTGAAAAACTAGACCAGGGGTCCTCAGACTTTTTAAACAGAGGGCCAGGTCACAATCCCTCAAACTGTTGGAGGGCCGGATTATAATTTGAAAAAACATGAACGAATTCCTATGCACACTGCACATATCTTATTTGTAGTGCAAAAAACACTTAAAAACAATACAATAATTAAAATGAACAATTAAAAAATACAGGGGCCTGAGGCTGTTAGGAATGATGGGAGTTGGAGTCCAAAACACCTGAAGGGCCAAAGTTTGCCTGGACTACATCGAGGGAAGTCATGGTGCCTCTCTATTCTGCATTATTATTATTATTGTATTGTTGAAGGCTTTCATGGCTGGAATCACTAGGTTCTTGTGGGTTTTTTCGGGCCATAGGGCCATGTTCTAGAGGCATTTCTCCTGATGTTTCGCCTGCATCTGTGGCAAGCATCCTCAGAGGTAGTGAGGTCTGTTGGAATTAGGACAATGGGTTTATATATCTGTGGAATGACTGGGGTGGGGCACATTATTATTATTATTGTTATTATTATTATTATTATTATTATTATTATTATTGCAATGCAACTATTTGGTCTGCTCCTGACATGAAAAATAAATAATTATTATTATTATTCTATTCTGCATCATTATTATTATTATTATTATTATTATTATTATTATTATTCTATATTGCATTTTTACTACTATTCTGCATTATTATGCCCATACCTGCCATAAGTAATCGAATCCCCCAATCGGAAGGGATCCCCAAAGGTCATCTAGTCCAACCCCTTTCTGCCAGACAGGATGACACAATCCAATCCCTCCAGATAGACGGCCCTGCAGCCCCATAGTAGTAGCGGTTTTATGGAAGCCATAGTCAGAGAATTCTCAAATTTGGAAGGGACCACCCCCCCACAAGGGTCATTTAGTCTGACCCCCTTCTTTCTGCCACGCAGAGTCACCAGCAAAGCCCTCCCAGCAGATGGCCACCCATCCTTTTCTTGAAAAGGAGACTCCACTGGACTCCCAGAGTTGAAAGGAGCTCCTGAAAGACATCCAGTGCAGCTCTCTTCTTCTTGCCAGATAGGAGGACACAATACAATCCCTCCCGACAGATGGCCATCCGGCCTCTTCTGAAAGAGGCCCAGGAAAACACGCCCCCCTCCCCTCCTATTTTCCCTACCTTTTCCGCATGGCTCCCGGCCTTCTGCCCAGCTCCGGGACCTGCATCCTCCTCCTCCTCTCGCTGGGTCAAGAAGCAACGGCGACGGAGGCGAAAACGACAGCGACCGTTTTGTGCTGGGCTCCGCCTTAGATTCAAATACTCCGCGCCGCTTCCTGATTGGCTCCGCTTCCGATGACGCGCCACGTAGCCACGCCCCCCGCCGAGAGGGAAGCCCCAGTCGCTTTCTGATTGGCTCCATCAAGCCACGCGCCCTACCGGAGGAAGAACACGCCCTCCAGTGCCCCTTCGGACCAATCAGAAGTCAGATGCCGGGGGGCGTGGCTCTAGGCCATCCTTGAACTTCTCAGTTGAATCCAGAGAAGCCTCCCAGGAGTCCTCATCCTTATTATAGGAGGAATTATAAATAAATTATATTCTGAATTATTGTATTATATATATATATATATATATATATATATATATATATATATATATATAAAAAAATTACAAAATATCTAAGCTTTTAAAAGTGTATTTCCCTCCCAAACTGCTATATAATATCATTTATATATATAATATAATTTATATATATTATTACAATAATATATAACATTATTTATAATTCCTATAATTTATATATATTAATTATATATATATATAATTATATATAATTTATATATTACATTATAAATAAATTGTTATATATTAGTGTAATTATAATTATATATATATAATTACGGAGACCCCGGTGGCGCAGTGGGTTAAAGCACTGAGCTGCTGAGCTTGTTGATCGAAAGGTCACAGGTTCTATTCCGGAGAGCGGCGTGAGCTTCCGCTGTCAGCCCTAGCTTCTGCCAACCTAGCAGTTCGAAAACATGCAAATGTGAGTAGATCAATAGGTACCGCTCCAGCGGGATGGTAATGGCGCTCCATGCAGTCATGCCGGCCACATGACCTTGGAGGTGTCTACGGACAATGCTGGCTCTTCGGCTTAGCAATGGAGATGAGCACCACACCCCAGAGTCAGACATGACTGGACTTAATTTCAGGGGACTACCTTTACCTTTATATATAATTACAATAATATAAACAATTTATTTATAATGCAATATATAAATTATTATATATAATATAATTTATATATATATATATATATAAATTACATTGTTATATATAATTTATATATTACACAAAATATATACAATTATAGTAAACATTGTGATGATGTCATGTGTTACAGTTGTACCAAAAGAGGACAAAAGCGATCTATCCTTTCGTTTTAATTATAACCTTACATCGTTAACACCTTTGCTTTGTAGGGTTATGTAATTAATTACAAAAAAGGTAAAGGTTCCCCGCTGACATTAAGTCTAGTCGTGTCCGACTCTGGGGGGTGGTCTCATCTACATTTCTAAGCCAGTGCCGGCGTTGTCCGTAGACACCTTCTAGGTCATGTGGCCTGCATGACTGCATGGAGCACCATTACTTTCCCGCTGGATAGACACCTATTGATATACTCATGTTTTCAAAGTGCTAGGTTGGCAGAAGCTGGGGCTAACAGTGGGAGCTCATGCTGCTCCCTGGATTCAAACTACTGACCTTTTGGTCAGCAAGTGCAGCAGCTCAGCAGTTTAACCCATTGCACCACCAGGTTATGTATAACTGGTCAATTTCACATTCTGTTATAGAAGGCATGGGCAAACTTTGGCCCTCCAGGTGTTTTGGACTTTAACTCCAACAATGCCTTTGGTCCTCCAGGTGTCTGAAATCCAAAACACCTGGAGGGCCAAAGTTTGCCCATGCCTCCTTTATAGCCTTATGCCTAGCAGAGATTGTCAGGCATTTTGTGTAATACATTAAACAACATTTAATTTCAAATATGTTTTTATGGGTTTTAAGTTGTTTAAAAAAATATCAGTGATATTAATTTAGTTCTGTTTTAATGTTTGTATATTTGTATATTTTTAAAATTGCATGGAAATGCTTTCAATGGAAGCCGTTTTCAGAGTAAACATATTAAGTAAACATAATAATAATAGCAGCCGTTTATTTATGTATTTATTTATTTATTTATTTATTTATTTATTTGTCGTGTCAGAGCAACCAGTCCATTATATTACATTTCTAACAGAAAAAAGCAAACAAACAGAAAAATACAAAACTTGTGAGTTTGGTAGTTGGTTAAATGTCCTTTGACCAGTATCTGGCCACTTGGAGTGCCTCCGGTGTTGCTGCAAGAAGGTCCTCCATTGTGCATGTGGCTGGGCTCATGTTGCATTGCAGCAGGTGGTCAGTGGTTTGCTCTTCTCCACACTCACATGTCGAGGATTCCACTTTGTGGCCCCATTTCTGAAGGTTGGCTCTGCATCTCGTGGTGCCAGAGCGCAGTCTGTTCAGCGCCTTCCAGGTCGCCCAGTCTTCTGTGTGCCCAGGAGGGAGTTTCTCATTTGGTATCAGCCATTGGTTGAGGTGCTGGGTTTGAGCCTGCCACTTTTGGACTCTCGCTTGCTGAGGTGTTCCAGCGAGTGTCTCTGTAGATCTTAGAAAACTATGTCTGATTTAAGTCGTTGACGTGCTGGCTGATACCCAAACAGGGGATGAGCTGGAGATGTCGCTGCCTTGGTCCTTTCACTATTGGCTGCTACTTCCCGGCGGATGTCAGGTGGTGCAATACCGGCTAAGCAGTGTAATTTCTCCAGTGGTGTAGGGCGCAGACACCCCGTGATAATGCGGCATGTCTCATTAAGAGCCACATCCACTGTTTTAGTGTGGTGAGATGTGTTCCACACTGGGCATGCATACTCAGCAGCAGAGTAGCACAGCGCAAGGGCAGATGTCTTCACTGTGTCTGGTTGTGATCCCCAGGTTGTGCCAGTCAGCTTTCGTATGATATTGTTTCTGGCACCCACTCCGCTGGCTGCTGGAGCTGATGAACAACTGCACTGCATCCTGTCAGATCCCCAAAATCTGGAGGAAAGCAAGAGTCATCGCCATCTTGAAGCCAGGCAAAGACCGTAATGACCCAAAAAGCTACAGACCAATCTCCCTGTTGTGCCACCTCTACAAAGTTCTGGAGAGACTTATTTTGCATAGAATTATGGAAAAAATAGACCCTGTCTGATTCCACAGCAAGCTGGCTTCAAGAAAGGCAAAAGCTGCACATCGCAAGGGCTGAACCTGACTCAGCACATAGAAGATGGCTTTGAAAGGCAGCAGATCACAGGAGCTGTCTTCATAGACCTGTCAGCAGCCTATGATACTGTGAACCACCGCCTCCTCCTGAGAAAAATGTATAATATCACAAAGGACTACCATCTCACCCGCCTCATAGGAAACCTGCTACAAAACAGGAGCTTTTTTGTTGAGCTCCAGGGCCAGAGAAGCAGATGGCGGAAACAGAAGAACGGCCTGCCTCAGGGGAGCGTGCTTGCTCCATCCATGTTCAACATCTACACAAATGACCAGCCACTGCCAGAAGGGACAGAGAGTTTCATCTATGCTGATGATCGTGCCATTACCGCTCAAGCAGGGAGCTTTGAGATGGTTGAACAGAAGCTCTCCGAAGCTCTAGGTGCTCTTACTGCCTATTACAGGGAAAACCAGCTGATCCCTAACCCATCTAAAACACAGACATGTGCTTTTCATCTCAAGAACAGAGAAGCATCCCGAGCTCTGAAGATCACCTGGGAAGTAATCCCACTGGAGCATGCAGCGCACCCAAATACCTGGGAGTCACTCTGGACCGTTCTCTGACCTACAAGAAGCACTGCCTGAACATCAAGCAGCCGTTTGATTTATGTTTATGAATTCAATAAATAAATAAATATGGGGCCTCGGTAGCACAGCAGGTTAAACCGTTAGCTGCAGAAAAACTTGCTGACCGGAAGGCTAGCAGCTCGAAGCCACGGGGTGAGCTCCTGCTGTTAGCCTTAGCTCCTGCCAACCTAGCAGTTCAAAAACATGTAATGTGAGTAGATCAATAGGTACTGCCTCAGCGAGAAGGCAAAAGGCACCCTGCAGCCATGCCAGTAAACACGACTAGGAGGGTCTACATACAACAGGCTCCTCAGCATGGATAAATGGAACAAGAGCACCTCCACATGGCCAGAGTTGAGCATCGCCTCCAGATGCCGGAGATGAAAAGGGAAACCTTTGCCTTTGTTTATATCCAATCCAATAGGCCTTTATTGGCATATATAACAAGACATTATAAAATAGGAGTATAAATTATAGAAAATGAAACTTCACATTTGCTACATCACATTTGAAACTTGCACATTTGCGTGTAGCCTTTGTTTATATATTGTATGTCATTGTTCACTGTATAAAAAGCATTGAATGTTTGCCTATATATGTGTATACTGTAATCCGCTCCGAGTTCCCTTGGGGAGATAGAGTGGAATATAAATAAAGTGTATTATTATTATTATTATTATTATTATTATTATTATTATTATTATATCGGCTGTCCAAAGCAAGGAGAAGCGGCAGAGCAGAGGAAAGGCAGGGTCTGCATTCAGTAAATAAAAACTTGGAGAGAGAGAGAGAGAGATGTGCTGGAGGAGTTTTATGTTTATGATTTCAATAAATAGATACAAATTGTCCAGTCATGCCTTGCCCTCCATTGTGGCCTCTAGCAATCGGACGCTGTTGGTGATGGCTGTGGTCAGGAACACAAACCGGAGCCCTAGGAGGAGAAGGAGGAGAATGTAATAGAATAACTTTCTTGAACACTCTATAACATAGCAGTAGAAAGTCAACAGCAGTTTTCCATTCAATTGTTAGTTCCTTAAAAGCCTCAGATCTCCATTGATAACTCAAGGCTGAATTTCTTATCTATTCCTTCCATAATCTACTATATGCCCCTTGGTCTCATTGGTGTTAAGAACCCAATTATTGACCCTTCACCAGGAGAGCAGGAGATCCACCTCATCCTGGTCAGCAGACTCTTGCCCTTCAGAGAGAAGCCCCACCACTGGAGGAGGAGGAAGCAGTGAGGGTTCGAGGCCAAGGCCCAGGCAAAAGGCAGGCTACAGTGGGGAGAGCTGCCATGACGCCAACCCTGCAGGGAGACCTTTGGCCAGGAGCTCCCTTTGCTAGTTCACCCTTCAAGTCCAGGAAGGCCCAACACTGCTGCTGCTGACATTGCCTGGCTTCTTTCCCCAAAGGGCTAGACACCTGCTGAAT